CTGGTGTGGATTGTCAACATTTATGTAACGGATTATATCATGTTCATTATTGTTTTGTTGTAAATCTATGCGCGTGTGCGTGTGTGCGATTGTGTGTGTTTTCGTGTGTGTGTGTGTATGTGTGTGGGAATATAATTTCCAGGCCTAGTTGATGCAATAGTATGGAGAATCACAGTACGACTTGACATTCAAGCACGAAGCACTTGATAAATGTATATTAAGAGTAGATAATATTATGAAAAGGTACTAGAATATGCATATATATAGTACTACAAAAATTTCAGTCTATATGCTAGTCTAAGCTTTATATATACGTGTATATATTTAATTATGTATTTTTTAGCTTTTGCTTAGATTTTAATTCTGCTTCATATTGAAATCTTTTATTAATTTTTTTTTCTGCATCTGGCAACTTTGGACTTTTCCCCAAGCCTTACCTCTTTATATACAGAGAGGCTACATATATTAAAATATTTAGAATTGTTTTCAAGCTCAGAAAAAAACCCATGAAAAAAGCCCAAAAATTTGCCTACAAATTGAGATGAAAATCAAAACGAAACAGTGCGAAGCAAACTTAGTAAAAGAAATTGTAAGACCCCAAAGAAATTGAAGATCGCACTTGAAATGCCCTGTAATATAAATATATATAATTGATTATTTTATTTATTTTGTTAATAATTTCTAATGCTGTAAATATAAAACAATTATGGAACAGAAGCCATTGAATTAGTTTTGTTAAAGTCAAGTTAAAGTAAAGTAATTTTTCTATTTTTAATAACACACCCCCATACCCATTAACTTTGCAAAAAAGTAAATTGAAATATTATAGACTTACGCAAGTAAACAAATTCGAATGCTTTTTGATATAAATAGTCCTACAACTACAAAAGGATTTATTCCACAATGAAGTTTACATAGTAAAGTCCATACAGCAGCCCGAGCAGCGACTGGCTGCGTCAACTGCGCAGTCAGTAGAGCATGTGTATGTGTGTGCGTGTGTGCATGTGATGTGTATGCATGACAGAAGCATGAAATTATTGGAATATTAGCTCTTTGCAGGATTCAGGAGTTCTCGAAGTCGAATTTTCCCGACTATTGTCTCGGTTTATTGTTGTATTATTGATATGTGCCATTCTCTTAGGCTATATAATATACAGTTGCAATAGCTCGAAATGGTATGGGGATAAATTTTTCTTATTTACACAGAAATTCAATTTATCGAGAATTATTGAGAAAAATTTTGTTCGTTGGGATAAAATTTTGCTCGATTTATCGCGATTTTCGATTTAGTGGGGTACAAATTGTCGAGACTCGACTGTACTTAAATAGTTAATCTTTTAGTTGACTCTAGTTTTGTCAATATAACAACTCTTAGCTGCTCAGGTCCTACAGATTGAGCATTGCCCCAACCAGGATATGAACAAATTTACAGACTGTAAACAACTTAACATATGCAACAGATTGCGAGAGTGACGGCATTACAAATGCGCAAAGATCTCTATCGCTCACTCTCACCATCTCGCTCTCGCTCGCTCTCTCTCTCTCTCTCTCTCTCTCTCTCTCTCTCTAGCTCTCGTTGTGTGTGCTTGCAAATGTATGTACATAGCATTTGGCTATGTTTCAATTTCAATTTTAAAGCAGCGAACCTTCCAGTAGCCATAGCTATAGATATATACAGAACCACATACATACATACACACATATACACAGATATATATGTATGTATGTGTATCTACCGTATGGCCTTCGGCTATGCCTGGTGTCTGCCTGCATTACATTTCGCCCGCAAATCCGTAGAAATTCCAGTAATTGAAGAGCCGCACAGTCGAGCGGACGTCAGCGTGCGAACACACAGGGTCTGAGGCTGAACAAGGGATAACGCGCGCGATCTACCTGATCTCTACCTGCTGTCGCGATGAGTGCAGATGAACTGGGGCTGGCCGTCTTCGGGGTGCTGCTGTCGCTCGTCTGCATTGCAGTTGCGCTGATCTGCCAGCGGCGGAATGCGCGTCTGCTGGGCCGCACGCCGCCCGGGCCGTGGGGCGTGCCGCTGCTGGGGTACTTGCCGTTCGTGGATCGCCAGGCGCCGCACAAGTCGCTGCAGGCGCTGGCCCGGCGCTACGGCGCCATCTATCAGCTGAGCATGGGCAGCGTGCGGACGGTGGTGCTGGCGGATGCGGCGCTGGTGCGCGACTTTCTGCGGCACGAGGAGCTGACCGCCCGGGCGCCGCTCTACCTGACGCACGGCATCATGGGCGGCTATGGTAAGCACTCTGGCCGCACTTTGCCACCGAAACGAATGACTTAAGACAGCAACTTGCAGGCATCATTGGCGCCGGCGGCGACATATGGAAATATCAGCGCAGGCAGCTGATCGAGTGGCTCAAGGCGCTGGGCATGACGCGCAAACAGTGCGAGACGCGTGCGCAGCTGGAGCAGCGCATCAGCAGCGGCGTCAGCGAGTGCGTCCAGGTGAGTCTCTCTCTCTCTGCCTCTCTCGCTCTCTCTCTCTCGCTCTCTCTGTGTGTCTGTCTCTTTCTCTGTCTGACTAATTGGCCAACTGGCCGCTGTGCGAGAAATTCCAAGAATCATGAAAGTGAAGGTCCTACGCGTCATCGTCATCGTCTCTGCTGCTGTCGTCGTCTCTGGACATTCACTTTCCGTTGTGGTCATCACTCGACGTCGCTGCCGCTGCTGCCGCGGCTGCTGCTGCTGTTGCTGCCGACGTCGACAACGACGACGCATAAATTTAAAAATTTGCTAATTTTTTGTTGTTGCTGTCGCATGTTTTTGCTGCTTTGCTTTGCCATTTTTTTCTCTCTCTGTCTCTCTCTCTCTCTTTCATTGTGTTTTTGCTCTTTTTCTTTTTGTTTTCCACCTTTCGCTTTTGGCACTTTTCACTGTCTGTTCTGGATCTGACGTGCTCTTTGTTCGCAGGCCTACGAGTCGGAGGCGAAGGCCCCACTGGATCCGCTGCCGGCGCTGCAGCACACGCTGGGCAACATCATCAATGATCTGGTCTTTGGCGAGACCTACGAGCGCCACGATCCCAACTGGCTGTACCTGCAGCAGCTGCAGGAGCAGGGCGTCAAGCTGATCGGCGTCTCGGGCATGGTCAACTTTTTGCCCTGGCTGCGCCATCTGCCGGGCAACAAGCGCAGCATACGCTTCCTGCTGGACGGCAAGGCCAAGACGCATGCGCTCTACGATCGCATCATCGCACGCTGCGCGCAGCAGCTACAACAGGAAAAGGAACAGCAGCAGCAGCAGCAGCAGCAGCAGTCGCCTGGCCGCAGCATCTTGGCGCACTTCCTGCACGAACGTCAGCCCTACTCACAACTGTATTGCGATGAGCAACTGCGTCACCTGCTGGCCGATCTCTTTGGCGCCGGCGTGGACACGTCGCTGGCAACGCTGCGCTGGTTCCTACTCTATATGGCGCGCGAGCAGCGCTGCCAGCAGCGACTGCAGTCGGAGCTGCGCCACCTCAGCGAGTCGCCCACGCTGGCCGAGCTCGAGCCGATCGCCTATCTGCGCGCCTGCCTCTCGGAGGCGCAGCGCATTCGGTCCGTCGTGCCGCTGGGCATACCGCACGGCGTCGACCAGGACACCATGGTGGGTGACTACCACCTGAGGAAGGGCACCATGGTGCTGGTGCTGCAGTGGGCCATACACATGAATCCCGAGGCCTGGCCGGAGCCGGAGCAGTTCCGGCCGGAGCGGTTTCTCAGCGCGGACGGCGACTATGTGGCGCCCGCTCAGTTCATTCCCTTCCAGACGGGCAAGCGCATGTGTCCCGGCGATGAGCTGGCCCGCATGATGCTCACGCTCTACGCGGGACGCATTCTGCGTCGCTTCCACGTGCAGCTGCCCGCCGGAGAGGCGCAGCACGTGGACTTCGAAGGCGAATGTGGCATCACCTTGGCTCCGGCGCACTACAAACTTCAATTTACCCCTATGGAAGAGCTACCCAAGAATGACTAAATTTGTTCGGATTATTTTTTCAACATTTTTTAGAATTAATAGGCTTTTATTATTTTTTAAATATATATATATATAAATTTTTTTTTTTAATTTATTTTTTTTATTTTTCAAATTAACAATTTGACTAAGTGCATTCTTTTTCTTTTTTTTCTTCCAATATAAATAATAAACAACAATAAAAAATATTTTAAACCCATTTTAAGCGGTGTTTGTCAAATAAACTATTAATTTTCGCTATTAATTTAAGATTTATGTAAAAGGAAAAATTTTATAAAATATTTTCATATTTTTTAATTTTTTATTTAACGATTGAAAATAAAAGATATGTTAATTTTTTGGCAATTTGCAATTATATACATTTTTATTTTCAAAATTTTTTTACATAAAATAATAAAATCAATAGTTTTTCGATTGATTTTATTTTATTAGATAACAATAAATAAATAATTTTTTGATTGATTTTATTTTATTAAGAAGAGTTAAATTTCTTCAGTTTTTTTTTTTAATTTTGCACATCAAAACAAAAATTTTGTTTATTATATTTTTTTTTTTTTTTTTTTTTACATTATTTGCTAATTTAAGATTTTTATTCATTTTTTTTCCGCAAAAAATTTGTAATTATTAAAAAAATATTTGTTTGTGCTTTTTAAATGATTTAGTTTTATTGTCAATCGTGTTTATTTTTTACTTAATAATTTGTTTAATTATTAAAGAAAATAATTTGTTGTTTTATTTGTTTCTAATTTTGTTTTATTATTAAAATTTTTATAATTGTTTTTTTTTTTTTTTTTTTTGAATTTATTTTTATTTTACCTATATTTGTGTGCTTAAAATAAACCACAGTTTGTTTTGTTGTTTGTTGTCTTAAATATAACAAAAAAAACATCAACTAACTAAAGACAAAAAAATTATATATATATATATATATATATATATATATATATATATATATATATATATATATATATATATATATATATATATATATATATATAATATATTTAAAGATGTTTGTAAACAAAATATTTCAACTTGGCTAATTAAAATGCTAATTAATTAATGTATTTTAATTACGAATTAATTATTAATTAACTGAACACAGCTTCTTGGGGTTGAAAGAATAGAATTTGATTGCTTTATAACATAGCTAAATGATAAATGATACAGATACATAATCTATAGATAGGTATAGATAGGTAGCATCTGTATCTTTTGATGACAGGCTCGTCGTATAGCCTTTAAAAACTTGTTACTTAACGCTAAGCCTAAGGCCTAATTTCTTAAGCAATATTGTCTCTCTCTATGCATATAAATCTCTAATGATAATAATAATAATAATATTAATAATAATAATAATAATAATAATAATAATAATAATAATTAAAAAAAATTGTGTAGGAACAAAACCGTGCTCTGTTGAGCCCCGCCTAGTTGGGGCTCAGTTGGCGCCCACATTGCGCACTTGATGCGGCTCGCTGGCCGTGGGCGCCAGGGGGCGACGCTTGAGGCAGACCTTGAAGGACTCGGGCGTGATGGTGGCGCCCACATTGCCCTTCAGGCTGGGCAGCGGCTGGCCCTCGGGCAGCGCAATGTCGAAGCAGTGCATGAACGAGGCGAAGAACAGGAAGAGCTCCATGCGCGCCAGCACATCGCCCAGACACATGCGTCGGCCCACACCGAAGGGTATAAAGTATTCCGGCTTGCGCACCTTGCCCTCCGTATCGATGAAGCGCGACGGGCGGAACTCCTCCGGCTTCTCCCACAGATTGGGGTCCATGTGAACGCTGTTGATCAGCGGTATGACGTGCGAGCCGGCCGGTATGGTATAGCCATTCAGTTGCACATCTCTGTGAGGCGATAGCAAACAGAGAGAGAGAGAGCGGGGGAAAGAAAGAGAGAGAGAGAGGCAGATGATGCCAAGTTAGTCAAGTGTTTCAAACGAGCTGCAGTTCTTCTGCGTTTAGTATTATTGATTCGCTGTGCGGTTATCAGCTGACAAGCCTCTAATCAGAATTATCAAGTGCGTAGAACCGAAACTGGGCCAAACTGCGACGCAAAGGAAGCGCGTCCAATGATACCGCATGGCCGGACGGAGAGGGGAGGCATGGAGTGGCGGTGCGGCGGAGTGCGGGGAGAGCTCGGGCTTGAGTACTGAATGAAAGGCAGTTTCCCAGTTGCTTGGCTTTCCAGTGCCAGTGCCATTTGATTTGATTTGATTTGATGTGATGTGATGTGATGTGATGTGAGAGGCAAAGCCCCAAGCACCCACCGCAGCTACCGCACCCCCTCCCCAGGCCGGCCCCTTGGCGGCGACAATGAATGTGCCAATCGCGTGCCATTGTCCATGCGTGGAGTGAATGAACGGACGAGTGCGGACCTCGTTGTCGTCATTTGCATTCAGCATTTGCGCACAATTTGCTGCATGCGTAAGCGGGCGCACGGCCCACGATTGTGGGCGTGGCCAGCTGATAACCGACTGATAGCTGATAAGCCGATGGCCAACTATCGATAGCTTACCTTGTGGGCGAGTGTGTGGTGGCCAATGGCACGATGCTGGAGCGGCGCATCGACTCGAGTATCGTTGACTCAGTGACTGGCAGATACTGCAGATCCTCGATCGTGGGCAGACGATGGCGACCCACAACCTGATCGAGCTCGTCCTGGACGCGTCGCATCTCCTTGGGATTGCGCAGCATGAACACGTTTATCCACAGCAGCGTCGTCTTGATCGTCTCCATGCCCGCCGAGAACAGATCAATGATCACTTGAACCAGCTGCTCCTCTGCAATGAACAATGGATTGGCGAGAGCGAACGAAAATTGATTAGCATTCAGTCTATTGTCAAGCGTCAGGCCAAGAGTCGAGCACTTACCATGATCCTTGCCCTCAAAGAGTTCTGCATCGGTGCCTTCGGCCTTGGCCTTCTCAATCTCGCACAGATAGAAATCGACCAGATCGCGCACATTGCTGGGATCGAAGCTGCGCTTGTGCTCGTCGATGACGTCACGGTAGAATTTCTGCATCTCGGCACGATTCTGGGCGATCTTGTTCTTGGCCGTCGAGATGCTGGGGAAGCACTGCAGCGTCGGTATGTAGTCAACGGTATGAATCTCGCCGAACAGCCGCATGCCCTCCTCGATCAGAAAGTTGAAGCGCCTAAACTTGGGATCGTCGATGCTGAACCGCGTCGACATCATCAGGCTGCAAATCACATTGCTCACAGCCACCGAGATGACCGGCGACATGTCAATCGGTTGTCCGTCGCTCGCATGCAAATGCCCAATGAACTCGTGCACCTCCGTCTGCGCGAGAGTAGAGAGAGAGAGAGAGAGAGAGGGGGAGGGAGAGAGTTAAGCGAATGTTCTCTCAGCTGCACATCATCATCGTCGTCGTCGTTGTCGTACTCACCATGATGCGCTTCTGCATCTGCTGCTTGCCGTTGCCCATGTAGGTCATGCCGAACTGGCGCAACTTGTCGTGCAGAAAGCGACGCTGATCCTTCCACAGTTTGCCGGTGCTATTGATGATGCCTGCAAGCGATACAATGCGGTCCAATATATTAAGACAACTTGCTCATAATGTCATACACATGACTACATACTATATATCTGTATGCCATATGTCTATATATCTACAATATATATATATATATATATATATATGGCTATAGCGAACTGAGTTTTTATTTAATTTTTAATTGTATTTTGTTTGCTGTTGTTGTCTTCTTCTTTCTCTTTCTTTAATTGAGGTAGGCTCTGCCCCACTTCTGGGCCAAAAATGAAATCACCAACGCAAGAAATGTTGGAATTTTTTATATTTTATTTCTCTTATCATTGGAATACAAAATAAAATAAAAGCGGCTTATGGCCGGGCCAAAAGCAGCTGTAAAAGAAAAAAAACAGCAACAACAACAACAATTATATATTAAGTTAAACGGGCAACAAAGAAATGCATTGCTATTGTCATTTACTTCTTCTTCTTCCTCTTCTTTTTTTTTTGTTAATTTTTTACATTTTATTGAAAGTTGAAGTGCATTGCGATATGTACAGATTTATATATAAATATATAAAGGTATGCATATCAGCCTGACTGCTTTTATTTATTTATTTATATTCACATAAATATTTATATATTTATTTGCATTTTGATTATTTATTAAACATTTTGTGCTGGCGCAGCAAAAGTTTGGAACGTGTCGATTGATTTGTAAATTTCCATAGTACGCAAAATAAAAATACTATGAGTAGTAAAATATGTAAAATAAATATAATAAAAACAAATATATATATATGCATATATGAATAAAATGTAAAAAATCAGAGCATAAAATTAAAATTGATTTTCATTTAAAAAGTTAAAAAGTGTCATGTTAAAATATATGTAGATTTTATATATAAACAAGAAAAAAAAATTATAAATTAAATAAATTATTTGCTCATATGTATGTATTATTTGATTTTAAAATAATGAAAAGAAAAGCAGAAAAATAAAAATATATTAAAAATGTTGTATAGGGCATACATTTTTTTTTTACATTTTAAATAAATTATAAAAAAATATATACATTAAATTTTTGTCTTTTTTTTTCATAGTAAAATCAAAGTTTTATTTTTAATTTTATTTTATTTTAAACAAATCTGTTTCATATTAAATTTTTTTTTTTCATATTCAATTTTTACTAGCTTTTCATTATTTTAAAAACATTTTTTTTTTTAATTATATTATTTTTGTATATGTTTATAATTTCATTTGTATTCTCTTTCGACTTACCGTAACCGTTGAGCGTTTGCATGAACGGCGTGTCCGGTCGTCCTGTGAACTCCTCGCGGCGAAAGCACTCGCGAATCATTTTGTAGTCACTCATGACGACCGTCAGCTGGCTGCCGAGGCGGGTGGAGAAGAGGCTGCCGTACCTGGTGGCCAGCTCCATGAAGCGCGTGTGCTTCTCGTTGCCCATGAACAGCAGATAGCCGATGACCGGCAGGCCCCAGGGGCCGGGCGGCAGCTTGCGCAGCTCCCGGTACAGGCGCAGCAGCCACTGCAGCAGCTTGATCAGGGTGAGGAAGCTCAGCGAGAAGAGCAGCATATTCTGGGCATCCTGCTGCTCCATCAGCAGCTGGCGCTTCACAAACTTTATCACATACGATTCGCCCAGCATGTTGCCGAGTTTTCTGTTGCTGCTCTCTGGTGGGGGGTGGGGCGGCGTCCTTTCAGCTGACGATGCTGTTCCTTCTATATATATATATATATATATATATATATATATTCAGATATATATATATATGTTTTTTGTTATTGTTTTTGCTTGATTTATTTGCTGCACTGCAGAGTCATTTGTTGTCACTTTTGCTTTTACTTGGCGTCCGAACGTTACGAAAAAAATTCAATTCTTATGTTGGAATTTTAAAAAAAAATTTTTCGGATTTTTTTTTTTATTGTAGTTTTGTCCGTGGCGCAGGAAACAGTAAAAAAAATTTTCTCCTTTTTGTGTAATTTGAATAAAAAATTTGTATTTCTTGTTAGCCGCCTAAAATTGTGCGTTTGTTGTGGTGTTGGTAACAGTTTAAGCGTAGATCTAAAAAAAAAAATAGTTGCGTGCTCGGTGTCGAAGAAGTAGGCGGAGAGAGACCCGGAGACGATTTCGCGTCGAGCGTTTATAGTTTTCGACTAATGGCTCGAGCGTATGTCCTTGCCACTTTTATAACAACTCGGCCGCCGCTTCGCAGAGCAGCGCCGAACGCGAACGAGTGATCGACGGCAATCGCGGCTCGGCCGCTTCAAGCGCGCGCACACTCCCAGAGCCAGAGCCGACGACGGCGGCGACGACGACGACGACGACGACGACCGACCGACCGACCGATACGACGCCGCCGTTTGCGACGCTGCGCGTCTGCAACGTATTCGAGCTGCTCGATTGGGCAGAGCGCGGTCTGGCTGCGCAGCTCCGACTCCGACTCTGACTCTGGCTCTGACTGTGGCTCTGACTGTGGCCCGCTCTGGGACAGAATCTGATAGTCAAAAGCTGGGCAGCGGCTGCTGCAGCTGCTGCTGCTGCTGCCGTCGCTGCCGGCGTCACTCACAGCGCACTCGCTCATATCAGTGTTCGTCTACGTCTTCGTCTTCGTCTACCTCTCCATCCCCATCCCCATCCCCATCTCCATCTCCGACTCAGTCTCAGTCAGTTTGATGCGCTCATATTAGTCTTGAAATGACGCCGCCGCTGTTGCTGCTGCTGCCGTTGCTGCCGTTGCTGCTGCTGCTGCTGTCGTTTCGCCCCAGCTAGCAGCTGCCCCCGCTGCCCCCGGCCGCTGACCAGCGGCAGCGCCAAATCAACAAGTTTCCAATAAGCAGCGCAGTCAGAGCGTTTCACTCAATCGCAGCCAACATGTTGCCAGCGAGCCAGCTCGAACATGTTTGAGCTCAAAGCGGGCGCTCGGCTTTTGTTTTGAGTGCAACGCGAGCGCCGCTTGCGCTCTCTGTTTATGTTTTTTTTTTTTTTTTCATCTTTTCTTTTTGACTGAGCTCCAAGCCAAGCTCAAGAGCAATCAGACGCTGGCCAGTCGGCGCTCGGCAGTCGACAGCGGCTGACACAGCTGGCGCTGGAGCGATGCGCGGTCGACTTTGCAGTCGTTGTCGCCGTCGCAGTCGCAGTCGCTGTCGCAGATGCTCGGACAGATGTACTTGCAGCGCTTATCAATTGATAAGACATACATACATGTACACATATATATATGAAGTCTAAGCTACACTGAGCGAAACTTCATACAAGATCTACATATATAGCGGAAGCAGTTGCACTTGCCTTTACCTCTCAAAAGAAACCAATTTGCATTTGGGGTTAATTAGCTAAGCCTTCGCCCAGTGATCCGCAGCCGAGATAGATTTCAAAAGAATCGAGATTTGATAATTCATATTTATTGGTCTGGGCATTGTATCAAAATTCCGAATGACGTCAAGCCTTAGCATTGCATTCAAGTTCAAAAATGTTGTTAACAAATTCACAATGAACAAGAAGAAGCTGAGCGGCAGATGAACAAGATAACAGATCTGTTTATATGACAACAACAACGAGAATTTTGGACGATGAAAAGGTTTTAAAAAAATATTTTGTTTGTTTTTTTTTTTTTTTTTGGTTCGATTTCAAATTCAAATTCAAATGCATTTGTAATCAATTCTGCAGAAGTTTCTGTGGCTTTCGATTTCGTTTTGGGTTCGCCTTTCGATTAATTCAACGATTTGTTTGCTTCTTGTTTACCAACAAGCAAAGACCATGCCGGTTTTTTTTTTTTTTTGTTTTGTTGGGCTTAAGGACAAGATCTGACCCTCAGCCACACGCCAAACGCTGCCGACGTCGACGGCGCAGTCTGCAGTGGCAAAAAAAAAAAAAAAAAATAAATGAAGCAAAGTGACAGACGGAACCAGAAGCAGACGCACAGTTGCTGGCCCAGAAACTTCGATATATATCAAATAAATTATATATGAATATATGCACTAAAATAAATTAATATATATATATATTAAAACTTAAATTATGTGCAGCAAATATTCACAATTTTAAAACTCGTCACACTTTTTTTTTTTTAATGAAAATTAAAAAATAAATAAAAATATTTAAAATTTTCTAAACAAAAGTGACCGGAGAAGTTCATCTTAAACTTAAGTGGAAAATCTCTAGTTATTAATTATTCCTAATCTTACGATATATTTAGTTATATATAAGTGAAACATATTATATGCCTAGGAATATATACATAAACGAAATAAATAAGCTCATTTACTACTCACTTCATATATTACCTGAATGCAGGACCTACACCCACTTATTTCCAAAAAAAAAAAAAAAAAAAAATAAAAAATAAAATCAATGGCAAAAGTAAAAGTAAATGAAAAAAATTCCAAAATTTAGGAATAATTTACTTATTCAAGAAAGTTAATTAGCTTTTTGTGCGTCTGTCCGTACGTCTATCCAGCCATACGCCCCTACATATGGGCATCCTCGTCTGATTAAGTATAAAGATATTCTCGAAACGCCCACTAGGGGTGTGGCTCATCGGGAAATACAATATGTAGTTTGTAAGTCTGAAATGCTACAATGAAAGTGTTGGCAAATTGAAATTTGTATTACGTACTAGAGTTGGGATCAAGATAAAAAATATATAAAAAAATATAATTATAAAAAATATAATATATACACATATAAACATCAAAAAAATTAATATATACATATATCAAATATGTATTTACCTAATGTGTATATACGATAAATGTAAATCTGTACTTTCCCCACTTTGAAAGCTAGAAACTCAAAGTTTGTCGACTAAAAACTGCAGTTCTCCTCTATTTAGATGCTTAAAAGATAATATAGTACTAATTGAAGGAGACGCGAATTCGGAAAAATATAATAAATAAAATATTTTACAGTCGGTAATACCCGACTGCAACCATCTTACATGATTACACTATTTATATAATATATTCAATTTATATTATTTTATATGTTTAGGAACTATGCCATAAAAATATGAGACTGCTATATAGAACACATATTTTGTTGCTAGACTTCAAATATTTATTTACAGTAATTTGGACTAATTAAAATAAATACCAACTACAGCCAAAGCACCGTCTGTTAGGGCCTTCGACCTTAACTAATTTGCTGGCATTTCTGCCAGCCCCAGCTCCGATCTCTAATACACTCCATATGCGTGCGTATATACTACAGCTCTGTATATTACTATAGTCAAATCCCACAAAAAATTCTTGACCGCTAATGGACGCCTGTTTTGACAGTCTGTGAAATAATTAACCACATTCAGATATTTATGCGTATTGTGAACGGATTATGCACAATATTTGCGGTATTTTGAAAATGTTCAAAGCGACAGCGTGGCCTTATGCTGAGCAAGTGTGTGCACAGATACCCTGTACTTGAGCAAAACACAGGCATTGAACGAAGAGCACCTCAGGCGGGTATTACAGCTGCATTCTATTTAAGTACAGCTCGAGAGAAAGCAGCGAAAACTCTTTACAGAATTTAATTTGTTAATGGAAATTGCAGGGCAGCAGCTAGTCGGGCATTTGCTATGTAGAACATGCTCTACTCGTTTTGTTAGCATTAGCGGGCAATGAACTAATTTGCATCTACTTAAATTCAATTCAATTTTGATAATTAGTAAGCATCAGCAATCAGCAAACAGCATCTGTATCTCTCTAGCAACTCTCTCCCTCTCTCTCTCTCTCTTTCTCGGTCTCTCTATCTCTTCATATATACATATACATATATATAGTTATGCATTGAATTTGTCTAACTCGTTCTGTCTCTTTCTCTCTGCTTCTCTCTATGTGTCTTTTGAGCTTTTGACTGCTTGATGAATGAAGCATAAAGCGAATAACAAGTCAACGGCAATGTCAAGTGCAGCACAGTCGCAGTCGCAGTCGCAGTTCCCTTTCCCGTTCTCATTCCCAGAGCCAGAGCTGAAGTATACTAGAAGACAAATGTTTCGGCGCAGCAACAGCTTTAATAAACAACAAAAAACACAAAAAGCCAGAGTTTCAAATGCCAAATGTGAAGCTGGTAGCTTCAAGGCTGTGGCCAAAATCACGCGCCACAAATGTGTAAACAGGGCTAAAGGCGAGTGAGCAAGCGAGAGGGAGCGAGGGAGTGTGAGAGTGAGCAAAAGCAAAAGATAATCAAGCCAGGAGCTAAGATTGCGACATGGCAACAGCAACAGCAACAGCAACTGCAACTGCACTAGGCAGCAGCAACTGTTGTCGTACAGCCGCACAGAGGAGTAGCTAGTCGAGTCATTGAACTGGCAACAGCTGCCGAACTAGGATGCTGCATGTGGCAGGCAACTGCTGACGTGGCCTCTAGGAAATCAAAATCAAAACGAAAAAAAAAAACAAAGCACTTACGACAATGGCCGTTGGGTCAACGCACCCGCTGCAGCGCAGGACAACAAACTACCTATGCACACTCACTCACTCACTCACTCCCCTCTCTCTCTCTCTCTCTCCACTCGCTAGCTCTCGCTCACTCACTATCTCCCTCCCTCTCTGTGCACTTAAGGATCACACACACACCACACACAGACAGATCATGAAAATCGAGAACAGGAAAACTGTGCACTGCGCGCGCGGCCTTGGAAGCGGTCATTGGCCCAGACACACAGATCTATAGCCAAAGCAGAGGCCGGTGTCAGCAGCGGCCGCATTGTTGAGCGGCCGGCGAAGTTTCCAGGAACTGCTGCCAAAAGGCTAATGACTGACTAGGCAAGCCCCAGAATGTGAACTGAAATAGTTACCGCTTGTACAGTCAGCCAAGGATACCGGACATGAGTCAGTGCAGAAATATGCCGCCAGAGATCTGACAGAGAGCCACAGCCACAGCCACAGCCAGAGGCAGAGCCAGTGCCAGTGCCAGTGCCAGTGCCACAGCCGTTGCCACGGCCACTCAGACAGGAGACAGTGTCGGATTGGATTTCAGTTTCGTTTCAGTCTCAGTTTCAGTTTCATTTTCAGTTTCGTTTCTGTTTCAGAGGCGGAGGCGAATGAGACTCACAGCGCAGTCCCAGGCGAACCCGGTGACAGGTAATAACTAACTGGTTTGCCACATCTCAATCTCAATCCCAATCTCAATCACAATCCCAATCTCAATCTCAATCTGAATGATTC